ATTATTTATAAATGAAAAATAATAATGTTAATAGAGATACAGTTCACATTTACTGTAATTTTTAATTCTGTATCTTTAAATAAAAAATAGTCACAAAACTGCAACTGTAAATAATGTATTAATACGTGTAAACAAATTTGTAAATACTATAATGGCATTTTCATTTCGTATTAGCACCAAATGGTGTCATGATTTTCCAAAATTAGCTACAGAATCTGGATTTTATTTCAATATGCATAGATCCAGAGTACGAATAGATTGGAATCGTATAAGTATGTAATATAACAAATACGTTAAATATTAGTTTATTTAAAGTATAATTTTTAAATAAATGTACTTAAAGTTGATTTAATACTCTTTGTTATTTTAGGTAATATTGACATAGATCGAATTATAAGAGAAAGAGATTTTCATTCCATTGATGACAATATTAGTAATGTAATAGATTATTGTTTAGAAAGTGAATATGACATTAAAATCTTGGATTCTAATTTTGTAAAACTCTTTCGTCTTGCACAGTTAGCAGTTGAATATTTATTATATTGTAAGCAATATTTAGATCATAGTGTAATAATATTAAAAGATGAACTGAAATTAAAGATAGAAGAAAATGTTAAATTAAAAAAGCAAATAACTACCTTGGATGAGGTAATAAAACATATGAAAGAAAAAGCAAAAGAAAGGAGTAAATTAATAGAAACTAGAATTGCAGACTCTAATGGTGAAATTTATAAGGTAATACAATTACAAAAATTGTTTTATTATAATCAAAACTTTACTAAAAAAATATAAAATTTTTGTAATATGGAAATTTTCATTCAAAAAAGTTTTTTGAATATTCAAATGAAATAATTGAACTTATTTATGCAGTGCCCTCATTGCCCAAAAACTTTTATATCTCCTGTATTTGTAAGTGCACACATCTTACGTCGTCATACATATGCAACAGAGTTATACATGCCTTCCTCTCCTATACATGAGCATTATCGCAGTGAAACTGAAAGATTGCACAATGAAATAAAAAATTTAAAGGAAAGATTGAATGAAACAGAAAGAGTGATAAGAAATGAGTCTGAGAAAGTTTCTGAGAAGAAAACATTAAATTATGATAAAAGACAAGTTGACAATGAGATTGAAAGTTATAAACATGATAATAATAAATCTGAAGAACATCCAGAGTATAAAGGATATCAAGAGGAAATAAGAACTTTGAAAACCATGCTCTTTGATGAAATACATGTATGTATAAAGCAGACAAATTTGGAGAACTATAATTAATAATTTAAATAATAAGAACAGTAATAAATAACTATTTTGACAGAATTTAAGGCAAAAAGAAAAAACTATGTACGAACGTACATCCGAAACAAATGTTCAAACGTTAATAAATCAACAAGAAAAAGAATTTCAAAAATTGAGAAATCAACTATTTGAAAAAGTATGTAAAAAATTTGTTACTGAGGTATATTAATTCATCTTATTTTTTAAATCTATTCTATTTTTATAGCTTACACCAGATATAGAGAATATGCATGCAAAATTACATGCTCAGGAAAATTATTGGAAGTCAAAGATAGAACATTTAGAAAACCAACATCATAAAGATGTTGAAAATCTCACTACAGAACTAAAATTAACACAAAAAGCAGCTGATAATATGAAAGCTGAATATGAATCAAAAGTTAGCGATTTAGAACGGCAAACAGCAAATCAGTCAAATATTCTAATTGAACAAAGTAAACAATTGCATTCTCTATCACATGAAATAAATATTTCACAATTAAATGAAAAAAATAAAAATTTAGAAAACAATTTATTGAAAACAAGTAATGAATCTATAATGTTAAATAAAACCAATGAAATTTCGGAAAAACAAAATGATCATGTAGATGCAAAAACGGAACAAATTATTATTGAAAATAGTACAAGAGACACTATAATAAATTCAAGTTTATTAAGTAAAGTATTTCCATTAACATTGGAAAATAAATTTTCAAAAACCGCACACACTTCGGATTGTAGAAATAAATCCATTATCCGTGAAGATAAAAGCAGCACTAAAGGAACAAGTACCAAAAATGCAAAAAGTGAAAAATTGGATCATGTAAAAAGTATAGAGAAAAATTTAAAATATTACAGTTCCAGTGATATTTCAGTTTCAGAGGATTCAACACCTCAGAAAGGAAATGATTATAAAATAAAACGTAAGCACCCTGAAAACTCAATCATAAAAATCGATATAAAGGAATCTGATATAAATAAGTCACAGGATGCATTTAACAAAAATATGTCTAATGAGTTTTCAGCTAGTATAAAAAATACTAAACAATTAGAAACTTTAGAAGATACTCCGTGTTCTGCAACAAGTTCAGAACTATCTATTTCTGATTCAAATACAGACAGCGTCACTACAATTCACAATAATTCTTCATTGCATGAATATAAAATACACTCATCACTTTCCTTAAAATCTAGAAAAATAACAGAAACGAATTCATCTTATAAACAACTAGAGATAAGTTTAATAGATGCATTTGAACAGAAATTGAAAGATTTAGGAATAGATCCAGAATGGCAAGGAATACCTAAAGCAACTTTTAAACAAAAAATGGATATTTTAAAACATCATCAAAAATTAGTTGCAAAGGTAAGAAAAGTAGAAATAGAAGCTTGACAATGTCATTAAACATTTTTAAGCATTTTAAATTTAACCAATTCTTGACAGAAATCACCAAAGTATCATCAGATTAAGTTAAAAATAATTGAAGAAGTTCTCAACAAAATATCTAAGAAGGGAAAGGGAACAGAAAATTTTAAACACCTAAAAAAATCACCATCAAATAAAGTTATAACCAATATTAAATCAACGACGATAAAAGTGCGTAGTGATCAAAAGGATTCTGGTAATTATTGTTTTTACATATTAATTTAACTTAAGTTTTGTGAATAAATTACAATTACGTTTTATTTCTAGGAGATCACATTTCTACATTACAAGTTATACCACCAAATAGATTTCATTCTATACCAGAAACTAATCATAATAAAAATGTAATTGAAAATGAATCAACACTTATAAGACCTACAAAATCTGCAAATTACAAAAGGATAGAGAGATTAATACAAATTGCTCCAAATCCAGTAAAATCTTTAGAAGATGTACAATATACAGTACAGTCACAAGAGTCTTTAATAAGAAAAGATTCTTTAAATAAGATGGAATCTTTATTCAATTCTGAACCACTCAAAATAACATCAAATAATAAGTGTGTATTGGATAGTAAATCCGTTCAGAATGGTAATGTAAGTAATTCAAATATGCAACAGGACTTACAAGATATTTTAATATCTCCAAAACATAACAAAAGTGTTCTAAAATCTGCAACTGGTTCAACAAGTAGCTTGACAAAAAAGAAAGTTATTTTTGATTTAACAAATGAAAAAAGCAAAGAATCATCATCTGATGAAGATATACAGAAGGAAGGATTAAATGAAAGTAATTGGAATATTTCCAGGTGTATAAATTATCTACATTTCATGTTAAAAATATTACTAATGTTTGTAAAACTAAATTTTAATTTGAAATTATATTTATATTTAGTATTTCTGATGAGGGAAAATATTTATCTGAACAAGATTACAAAAGTTCAAATAATATTGTACTAAAAACATCACAAAGTGATAAAATTGCAGAAATATCAAGAAAACTTGAAGCACAGGTAGGATATCATAAAATTTATTTAGCATCTGATGATTCTAATTATTACACATTTTATTGTAGCTAAATATGGTGAGACAGAAACCTGTAGGATCGGTTGAAACAATATTTACTTCAACATTTGTACAAAATAAAGAAAATCACAATAAGAGCAATGAACAATTAAATTCTACTAGTATAAGTTCTCTTTTAGAAAGTCCAATTCATGCGTCAATATCAAATTTTAAAAAACCGAACGATTTGTTACCACAACCAGCACCACGAAATTTAAAAGATAAAATATCTGAAACTTTGCGTGCCGAATCTATATCAGAAATATCGGATTTAGATTCTGATATAGATAAAATCTTAAAGTTATAATAACCATAGATTAGTATTTGTATAATTAAATTATTTTAAACATAGTATTGCAATTTCAATTTACAAATAACTTCAGTTACACAAGTATATTTTCTCTTTAATGAAAAAAGTGTCAAGGCTAATAGCTTTTAGCATGAGATATTATTGTAATAGTAATTGTAATGTTACTATGTAATAATATTTATTTATCTACCTTAATCTAGTCTCAAGGACCAAAGAAGTAATCATAATGAGTCAGTATTTTATGTATTGTACACGATTTTTACTCATAAATTAAATAAAAAGAATGTTTTTTATGTCCAAAAATTTTATTGCATTACAGTAATAAAATCACAGTACATCCTATATATATCCTAAATATTAATTTTTTAATCTTTTTAACATAAGGATATGAGTAATTATTCTGTATTAATTACTGGTATCTTGCTAAATGAAAACATTGGTTTTGTACCTAGTGCTTTGAAGCAAGTGGCACACATTTACACACATCTACACACTTACACACATTTTACATATTTGACACTTCGTAAATTGTACGAAAATAGTGTCGAGATTGCAGACTATTAGAAATGTATTAAACTGTCATGTGTATACATTAAGGAATACGCAATCTTCCGCAATTTCACCATATAAGTAATATCTACGTTTACAACAAAAATTATAAACAATTCACTTTAAAACATTATTTTACCAAATATTCAAAAAAATTCAATGAAATTATATATACATACATGTAATAATTTGTATTATACGGTACACGTATTGAGCTATCTAAGAGATTGTATTTAATCATTTATATTTAATAATTTGTATTTAAACAAATATTAAATATATTTGATCAGTTCTTCGTTCTTTTTGTGGCACAATGGATTGTTTCAAAATTACTCCAAATATAAAATTACTGTCGATATGTTATGCTGCCAAGTAAAATGGAGGTTATATCTGAGATGCTCTGTCAAAGAATAATTTACGATTGTCGTACAAAATGGTCACATTTATGGTTGTTATTTATTATAAAGTAATAGTGAATATTATTAACCACAACTTAAGTAATCACTTAAAAATTTATACGAAGTTCTAATGAGAAAACAAAATGATGCCAATGTCTAATATACATTGTTTAATATGCAATATAAATCTTGATGTTTCATCCTGCGTAAATATATTTTCTACATCTTTTCCTAGACATGAGGAAATGTTGATAAATTTTGTATCACGTGTACTTCGCATTGCTACTTCTGAATTACAGAATCCTTACATTTGTTCACAATGCTACAATTTGTTTCAAATGTTAGAACAAGCACAAAAAACTGTTTTAAATATACGTTGTGAAATTTTAAAAATATATCGTGCTACTGAAAGAAGAAAAAGTATTAAACAATCAATAAACAATGATACAAAATTGAATCTGTGTACAAATATAATATTAGAAGAAAAAAAATTAAGTAATGGTGATGAAAATTTAAAGGGAGGATCAAATTTGCAAACATTTCAAATTGAGGAAGTAGTGCAACAACAATGTGTTCAAAATAATGTAGTAAACCAAAATATAAATATTCCAAATATAGATTTTGTCAGTAACAATAAAATTAATGCAGAATTAAAGAAACATTTCAAGAAGAAAACAACTGATTGCAATGAAGTAGATAATATAAAATCATTTGATTATAATAATACTCATATTAATATAAAAAAGGATGAAATTTTTAAAAATGATGTACTTCATAATTCAATAGCATTAATTAATGACAATACTGTGTACAATATTAATACTTCACAAGGTAAAGTTCAAATAATAAAAACAGTATTCAAATCAACAAATTAATATAATGTTTATTTGTAAACATGAAACTGATATTTGTTTAGCAAACTTGCATGCACTGAAAATGCATGTTGAGGAAAATAATTTTCTTTCACTAATAACATGTGAAAAAAATGAACCAAAGAAGTCCATAACAACAGATTCCATATTTTCTGATAATGGTTTGCAAGTATCAAATGCTGATTTCAAGTGGAAAGAAGTAAATGAAAATATTACAGAAGTAAAAGAAAATACTGAAAACACAACAGGTGATTGAATTTTGTTCTTTTTATTGTTGGTAAATTAAATTTCAAAATGTAAATTAATTTCCTACTTTTTTAAACCATTATGTATATAGTGACACAAGTTGATGAGATAAAAATACCTTTAAAATCAGGAAAGATATCTAAATATGATTTAAAACCATTGAAATATTCTTGTCCTACTTGTGATAAAAGATGGAGAACATCAGCTGAGTTAAAAACACACATAAAAACTCATTCATCATTAAGGCCATACATGTGTGAAAAATGTGGTCAGGCATATAAGCATAAGCATGCATTAGAAATACATGTTGGAATGCATAATGGAATAAATCCATTTCAATGCAATTTTTGCAATAAGTGCTTTACACAAAAAGGGGCACTTATGAGACATTTACCAATGCATACTGGTGAAATGCCCTACCAATGTGAATTATGTGGCAAAAGGTTTATACACCATACATCATACAATATGCACAGATTATCACATACTGGACAAAAATCTTATAAGTGTCATGTAAGTACTTAATAGTATATGAACATTTTTATACACTTGATACATATTTAAGTATTCCTGTGTTTCAGATGTGTGATTTATCTTTGCTTTCAACATCTCATTTAAAAAGGCATATGCGAGTTCATACAGGTGAAAAACCATTTAGTTGTACAGTATGTGGAAAACGTTTTGCGGAACGATATAATCTATTTGCTCATCAAAAAATTCATGATCCACTTGAAAGCAAAACCAAGAAAACTAAAGAAATGAAATACCAGTAAGTATATTTAAAAATTTCTAACTTCATTTGGATATTTATTCTAACTTCTACATTTTCAGATGTAATCATTGTAATGTAGTATTTAAACAGAAGCAAAATTTGAATGATCATATGAAGCATCATAGTACAAATAATGAATCTGATCTCAAAAAGTCACAATGTACAGTTCTTCAAGTTGAAACAGAAACTCAAGAGTTATCAAAAAAAGTAGATTCTGAACATTGTGTACTGCAACAAACGTGGATTCAAATGAATCGCTCTAAACTTGATATTATTGATAATCAAGCAAGATTTGTGCTTTTACAGAATCCTTTACCTGAAATTGATGAAAACTCTTTTGCAGTTACATTTAGTGACCAAAAAATATCCTTAGGAAGTACAAATTATAATACAAATTTGCAAGTAATTATAGAACCATCAGATGCATCACTTTTAAGCAACAATCTTTCTTCTATTGATAAAATACATATGTGACTAAATATTGAAATATTAATTTTTTAAAGAATCATGTTTTCTTAGCTCTTTTAAAAAATATTTTGAATAAAATAAATTATTTTTTATCATTTAT